ATTTTGCAGTAAAGTGGCAATTTTTGCTTGCAGTTGTGAGCAAGGGAAGCGAGACAATTGCTATGCTATAAAACCTACTCTTGGAGAGATTATAAAAAGCTTTTGTTTAACTATTAAAAATGAATAATTTCGGTTTAAAACTGAATTTATTGGATAACTGCTCTCTCCTGCTTACAGACTATTCTAAACCACCAGGGATGACACAGAAATGCTTGCCTGGGATGATGCAGCTGCTCTGCTACATCTAGGCAGTCATTCATAGTTCTTAACTTGGAGAGTAGCTGACTTACAGTATCGCTGACTAGCAGCAAAAATTTATCAGAAAATGTCCAATATAAAAATCATTTGTTTGCAATCCAGGTAACTGTCTTATGCATTATTGCCCATCTAATGAAAGTATACCAGTGTTCAGATCTCTGCTTATTATGACTCGCTCCTTTTTGAGTCCCTGGCTAAATATATATAAATAGAACATGAATCAGGTTCTCATAACTTGGCACTGTTTAGTTTTGAGGAAATGTATGTTAAGCTGATTTGGTTTCAGCAAAACTGTATTTTGTGTTTGCTGTTGGTAAAATGCAATATGAAGGGTACTGAAAATAGTTTTATATATAGTTTTATATGGTTTTGTACACTTGGGATTTTCATAAAACGTTTCTGTGCTTAGATTCTCCATCTCTCAGCTTGCCCTTATAAATACTTTTCAGAGCACAGTTGATACGAATTTCTCTCTCCTGTAAATATCTGAGAGACGTGTCAGAATCAGTTCAAGTTTTGGTGACTTTATAAATTATTCTGTGGTTCCTGATAGGAGGCTGCTTTTATTTAATTACTTATTTTCTTTTAAAAATATTTGAGTTGGTAAAAGCAATCACGATCAAAGGTGCAGACACCTTACAGTATTAGGGATATAAAACAAATTCTCCGCATAGAAACAAACTTTCTTAGGGTTGTGGTCTTTGAATCAACAGCGATCCCCAGGGACTTTCTCAGCTGAATCTGTGCTGACAGCTCTCTGTCATATGTTAGGTGGAAACAATCCATCCAGAAAGTTAACGCCACTTCAGCCCTACATGAGAAAAGGACAGTGTTAATAAGACAGCAGGAGATGTGACAGCGAGTGACTTGATGATATGACATGGAAGGAGGCTGTCAACAAGCGTGGCTGGAGGTAGGCACAAAAATTTCTGGGAGATGTTGGCTAAGATCTGTTCCTTTACTGAAACAAGCCTTTCAAAGACACTTTTTGATCTGGATAAAGTTTCAAGGGAGATAAAGTTGGATGGTGGCAAGACCTGACTACCTTTATGCCAGTTTGACTGTGTCTGGTTTTGCTTTTGGCTACCTTCGGCTTCCCTGATCCAGGACTCTGGAAGAGGTCCTGTGGAATGGCCTCAGAATTAGAAGGGTGTGAACCCCCCCAGGATTTAGGACCCTGGTGTACCCAGACAGCTGGCCTGCTTTGAGTCTGGGATGTCTTTGTAATTTTGAAATGCTTTCTTGCTGTGCAGCTGAGACTGCAATTTGGAGCTAAATCAAAGACCAAAATATTTTCTGAAACTACTTCCTTTTTCTATGCAGCCCTATTTCTAAACCTGTCATGATACACAGACAACAGAAGCAAATATTCACTTGCAGTTGCCATTAATGTGAGATGCCTAAAAGCTGTAGATGCCCCATCACTGTTGGAAGTGTATAAGGTCAGGTTGGCTGACCTAGGGAAAGATGTCCTTGCCTATGGCAAAAGGACTGTGACTAGATGATCCTTAAAGGCCCCTTTTAACCCAAACAAGTCTATAACTCTATGTTGTGGGATAGGAATAAAATTCAACCTCTGTGAGTGAGGCTGTGAGCCTGGACTCTCATTCCTGGTTGTGGAGGAAAACTCCTCAGCACTGCTACCTTGTTTTGTACAGGTGTCTCCACATTCACAAAAAAGTGCAACAGGACAAGGTACAGGGGAAGCAGTGCAGCTATGTAGTTCTCTGTGCCATTTTATATTCAGTGCCATGAGACATGGCAGCTGTAAGTGTACAGCTCCTCCAGGACCAGGACTATGCATGTGTTGTGTCTGGATACCTGCTCTTGTCAAGGCCCCAAAGCAGTAGCTGCACAGAAGAGCTTGTGCTCATTCCCATCTTGCAGATTTTTGCTGAGAAGAGACCATATGGGAAGTCACAGGGGGAAGATAAAGACAAAAACCAGTTATCTCATTGTCACTCAGAAATGAGTCCTTTTAGTTGCTGGAAAACACCTATAAAATGCAGGAAAACCTAGAGGTTTATATCTCCCTAGTTGAGATAGCGTCTCAGAAAAAATGTTCTGCATGTGTAGGATAAGTTGCTTGCCTTCCTCTAGTGAAGGTCAAAAAAAAAAAGATCTATTGTATAACTGGTGTCTTTTAAAGGGAGTGACCCCTGAAAAATCTATGTTTTTCCATTTATCTTGTGTTTTTTATATGAGCAGGCTATATTACTCCCTGGTGCATTTCTATCAGCTTCAGCCAGGTTACAGTAGGTTTGACAGTTACCTGGACCCCTGGAGGGTGTTCTTAGCTTGCATGCTTTTTTGTCTCTGAGTCCCATGTAATTTAGCAACATTGTTCCCAAAGTTCTTATTGGTCTTTCTCTACAAAACCACTTCATCAATTTACTTATTTGTCTACAGCCCTCTTCCAGGTGATGCCATCTTATAGAAAAACACCTTGTAATGCCCATCCAAAGCAGCGGGGATTCCTTCCCACAACCAAGACAGGGCAAAGATTTTCAGGGAAGATGCTGTGTCTCCTGCCTGCCTTCCTATTGGATGAATAGTTAGCAGTCTGCCCTCTTCTTAAAGAAGTGCATGCACTAAATCCCACAAAACACTGTCTGTTTTCTCAGTACAGTTTCTGAGGCTCTTTTCTTTCCTCACCCAGAACGTGGTTGTGAATAGATGATTCTTGTTTTGGAAGCTATGAACTAGATCTTCTGTCTTCAAAACTGAAATGCTTTCAGTACCTGTATCAACAGTGCACACATCCTATCATAATCAAAATTAACCAGGATGAATTAGTAAATTAGTTTTCCTGTAAGTCATGTCCACATGTGGTCTGGAGGCTTTTTTTCCATTATCTTGGTGCTTATAGATGTAAGTAGTGTTGTGTATGCCTGCTGCCAATTCTACCTACTGCTCTGTCAGGATTAGTTCTGAATTTTTCATTGTAGCTTTTATGGTAACATACAGCTGATAATTTGGGAATGTGCTCAAAATGTTCATTTAAAGTTACCCAGAGGTTACTTCGTTACTGTGGAACTAAAAATGGAGCCCCAGGCTACTAAATCTGATGGGATTTTTATGATGGACTGTTGCATCTGAGTGCTTGGTTTTTGGAGTCATGAGTTTGAGGGGATTTTGTTACATACAATTATTTTTTTCCCTTCCTCTGAATGTTGACCTGGTCCCATTTAATTTTTTTTAAAATGCCAAGTCTAAAAATCAGTTCTTGGTGTTTTAAAACTCAACCTGAATGTTGAAGTAAAATAATGAACAGCTTCTTTGTGACTTTCTTAAAATTACTGCCACTAGATCTAGTTCTTGGAGGTAACGAGTGAGGTAACATTCCAGTGATGTGGAGTTCAGTTTCCACCAACAGCTGGACCAAAGTCAGGGTGAAAGCTCTGATCACATCACACTCAGTGCCCAGGACATATCTGCCTCTGGTGCAGAAAGGATTTTGTTCTGAGCAATGTCACACCTGGTTCTCAGAAGCATTAAACTCAAGCTTGCATAACTTTCTGGATCAGTGTAATTATGTGTATGCCACAGTTACCACTTATCTCCATAGCCCGCAGTGAGCCTTATTTCTGGAAGGGCAATGTAATGATGGCATTACATGACAATCCCAGCTGTCTCAGTCAGGGTCTTGTGTTCTTTTCTCCATGTTGAAACAATGAGATAATACCTTCTTTCACAAATCTGTTTTGCTGTCATGTGAGACCAGACTCCTTTGTCTTTTTGTCCTGCCCAGATACTGGTCAGTGCTCCCTCGGGAGGGATTACAGAAATTTACAGTGGTTTTGGGCAGCAGTTCTTTTGGTTTGGACTGATGACTTCACCAGCATGAGCTGCTCGAATCAGAAGGAAAAAAATTCAAAATCCCTCCAAACTAATGTTTTGTGCTGGAGGGGAGCCACAGGGACAGCCACCGAAAGGCAAACATTGTCTGTGAAATAGCAACTTGGTTTCAGAGCTAAAATGAGAGGCTGTAAAGGATAGGTGGCTGCAGCAAATCTATTCCTTCCCGAGGAGAGGATGCTGCTGAATCCACTCTTATTGTGAGGAGAAAGGAGAACCACAAGCCTCTGCCAGAGGAACGGGTGAGAAAAATCAGAGAGGAAAAAAAATTACAAGCAAAAAGTCAACAAAATGAGCAGGATCTTGGCCAGGCTCTCCAAGGCAGATGGCACTGCTGGTTATAACAGCTGCAACTGAAAATCCAGGAGACAACAGCAGTAGCTGACAAATATTTAAAGATTACTACCAGCTGTTTAGTCCAAGCCATATCTCCTTCTCTCTCTCTGTTGGGTAGAGAAAGATTTGTACTGGAACTGGTTTACCTTGTCTTCATCACTGGATGTCAAAGATTATATTTAAACATCATTAGCTGGATCAAGCTCCTGAATGCCAGTAATGTCTTATCCTGCAGTAAGGTCCTTAAGCCTGACAGACTCACAGCCTCCTGTGTTTGTAATAAAGTAGGTGGGACATTATGCCTTCCTCTTTCATGTGGTTCTGCAGCCTGCTGGTCTCACTATGGCTGCTCAGGCAGGTAGTGGATTCACCATCCCTGGAGGTTTTTAAGATGGGACTGGATGTGGCACTGAGTGCCATGGTCTAGTAACCACAGCAGTGTTGGGTCAAGGGTTGGACTCGATGACCTTGGAGTCCTTTTCCAACCCAGTTGATTCTATGATTCTGTGAGGTCTGCTCTCTGCTGCCTTGCTTGCTCTGTTTGCTTACCAAATGCAAGTAAGATTGTAGTTCTGTCCTTTGGAAACTGTGCAGCCCTCACCTTTCATCTTTGCTGCATCTTCTCCCTCATGCTGCTTGCCCTAATAAACATGGCCAGAGCCATCTGGCAGGTCCTCTGCTCCTCTGTAGGTGTTCAGCTTGCTAGGGGTGCTGGGCTCTTCTCAGAAGTACAGTTCTGTACCTGCTCTCACGAGGCACTCTTCTGTGCTGATGAATTTGGCTTCAGCCTCTGGTACTTCTCCTCCCCTAGGAACACTTCATTTTTATTGTCAATTGGAAATGCAAGCGTAACCGCCAGTGCTTGAGGCACCCATTCTAAATGTGAAAGACTCTTCACCCGAAGGAGTGCTCAGAAATGTATTGTTTTCCACCTACAGACTGCTGGCAAGAATGAGACTTTGTCAAATATCTTCTGGGTCCCCACTTGGTTCTTAAACATCAGAAAAATGGATCAATATTGGGAGTCTATCTTCCCTTTTAGTCTTGCTGTGCTGCTATTTCATCCAAGACTTAGCAAAAATACTTGGACTGAATTAGAGAGGCAAACAATTGAATTTTTATGAATCTGCAAGTGACTGATGGGAAGGAATGGGGAACATTGAAAAAATTTCTTTTTTTAAAAAAAAAAAAAAAAAAAGATTACAATCAGAAGTGCTTACAGCGAAAGGTAGTGACTGAGTACATTGGGATCATTGAATTCATCCATCTGAATCCTAATAATAACATAAAAGCACAAAGGGATGTTGGAGGACATGGCTGGTCACTGGCAAGGGAAAAGAAGATACTGCGGTCTGCCAAGGAGAGCAATGTTAGGACAAGATTATCTTTCCTGTCATGTACTTGTCAAGCTGCAGCTCTTACTTGGGCTGGTGCTCTGAGTTTGGTGTCATTTTTTCTCTTCCCATATGCAGTGAAGTGAAACTTTAGGATGCAGAAAATGTATAAGGAAATGATGTAAATAAACTAGATGATTGGTTGTGCCTCTGAAATATTCAGGAGTGTGAGCTTGCCAAATTTCTCCTTGAGCAACAGAAAAACAATTTTCCTGCCTGACCATCTTACTGTGCCAGTGCAGGAGCAGTGGGAAGCTGAACTGGGCGCTCTGCTGCTGGTCCAAGCGGTGGGTGGGAAGGCAGCTGCTCCAGGGCTGTTTCTCTGGGCTTAGGCGCGGCATTACTGATGCTGTGGCCTAGCAGGGCTGCAGGAAGCTGTGCATAGAAAGGGAAGGAAACACCCATAGCTGAGAGTGTGGGGGAAGTCCAGCCCTGGATGAACACCAATGCCACTGCAGCTTGCAACTGCAGTCCATACACCTGTTCCCAGGAGACTCCATCAAAAAGGCAGATCAAAATATATATTTTGCTTGGCAATTGTATTGATCTGTGAACTCCATTCCTTTCAGTATGGATAATTATACCTGAGTCTCTTTAGTCTCTTTCTCTGTTAAAGAATTATTGGTAACAGGATTTCCCTTAAGCAAGGCCATACCTAAATTTGCTGCAATTATCTGATTAAGGCTGTCATGGCTTTTGTACTTAATTATACTGCAGAGAAGCATGAATACAGCAGGGTGCCTAAACTGATCTTTTCCCACATGTGGACATTTAGTGCTCTGTGGCAGATACCAGCTCATGTATTTGGTGGTTTTCTCATGCCTGTAGTTCCTGTACAGGTTCCGCCCTATAATTACTTGAAATTTTATTTACTATGTTCTTTCAGCTTCTCCTAGAAAGAAAATAGTTGGAAAATTTCAGCTGGAGCATTTTTTGTTGGGTTTTAAGAAAGAAAAATTATTCAAAAAATATGGGTTCAATGGCATGTAGAAAGGCAACTGAGATTTTTTTTTTTATTGAAGAGATTGACCTAGGCTGCATGAAACATTTCAGGGAATGTGATGACTAAAATAAAACCAATAGTTCAGAGAAGAATAGCAAAATGATGAGTGAGGCTTGGAAGGATTATTTTTGGGGAAAATGGAACTTTGTTGGTTAAGTGATGACTGCTAAAGGTAAAAGGAGAGCATGCAGCCAACCTACAAACTTTGAGGGAGCACAAGGATGTAGAAATACTTCTTTACATGGTAAAATAAGAATTCTTGCAAGCAGTAGGAAATTCAAGCAATGGGAAGGGATATGAAATCCAGAAGTAGAAAACCTCAGCTGAGCACATCCTTCCCCTGAAAAAAAAATCATTGGAGAACAGCACACAATTAGTGGTTTGTCACTCACTGTTCTGAAGAAAATGCTGCTCATTCTCCTATTTACTGCAGTTACAATGAGAGCAGGTAAAGCACTCAGCAATATGCCAAGCTGTGAGCCTGCATCTCTGTGTGGCTGAAAGGCTCTCAGTGTCCATCCACAGCACCACAAACTGCTCAAGTCTTGACAAGGCATTGACAGGAATGCTCTTATTCCCATCTTTTCTTTGAGTTTTGGTGCTGGTTGTGTCTTTAATCACGTTCCCAGGTACCATAAGTTGTTACCTGTAAGCCGCAGGCGGGGTAATCCTGGCAAGCATTGTGTCTCAGTCTCACTGGTGGCTAAGCTGATGTGATGCAATGCATGTTAGCAGTTCCCCACTGCACTCTGGAAATATAGGCAGAGATCAGAATTAAATTCCTTATTGTACTGGGTTGGCTATTGACTGGGAGGAGAAAAGCCAGGATTACCTCCATTCCTTGTCCCTTTTATCTTGGATTGCTTTCAAGTAGATCCAGCAGTTTTTATGAGGATCTGAGAAGAAATTTTCTTTTAAAAATAAGTTTCTTGAGTACGCCAAAATATTTAGCATTCTTTACATGTACAAAGGAAATAAAAGCGAAGTACCAGGATTCCTTTTGAATTTCTCTGGCATTGTTTGTCTTTTCCTTGGCAATGTCATCTTTCTGTATCACAGTCTTGGATTTATTTAGGTGATCATGTCAATGATATGTATATTTATTGCTTATTTTTGCTTTTCATCTTCTCCCTTTCTGGTCTTTGCATGAACTTGCAGTGGCATTGCCTGGAAAGCACGGTGACAGGGCCAACTCTGTTTTAAATGGAAGGCAAAATAATGCTGGGTAGTGGAATTACGCCCGGAGGGAGCTTGGCCTGCTGTCCTGATATTGCTAAAAACCACCTCCTGCTGACATCACTCTGTAACTTCTGCTTCTCACATCTGGGAGGAGAGAATGATCTCAATGCAGAAACCTTCCTGAACTTTAGGGGAGAAGTGTGGTAACTGTCCTTCTTCTGGGGAAACATGGGGGTGTATATTTATCATCAGTGCAGGAGACCTGACCTGCCTGATGTGGTATGGCTCCAGCTGTGATTTTCCACAGCATTTAGAACACTCTCCCATGGCTTTCTAAAAAAGGTCATGTTATTTGTGAAGTGTGATAATTGAGGGACCCAAACACGACAACTATGCAAGAAATTTCACAGCTTTGCTGTGCTCTGTCACTTCCATGGCTATCATCCTGAAATTCCAGTTAAGGCACAAGGGTATCACTACAAAAAGGCTTTAGTTTGGAATGAAAGTTTTAATTATGATTTTATGTTAAATTAACTTCTTGAATATAGTAATGAAATGGGAATAGTTTTTATTTTGCTAAATCATTAGCCTGGCATAAAGTTTAAAATAGGGTGTACCTACATAAAGATTGAAAATATTTGATTATGCACTGATTAACTTTAAAGCTGTAGTCTAAGGAACTCCATCCTATCCATTGGTTCAGCACTCTTTTCATACATTTGGAATATGAAAGAAATATAATCAAATCTGTTTTACAGAAACTCTACACTGGCAAGTTTAAGAGGAAGAATTTTGGTTACAGTTAAACTAAAACTGTACTTACATATTTCACAACTTCAAGACTGATTTAATTTTATTAAACTCAAATTTGAGAATTTATTTCTAAAAAATTTGGTTAAAAATTGTATTACAAATTAAATTTCAGTTGAAAGTATAACTAAACTTTTACCATTATGATAGCAATTATAATTTTAAAAGTATTCAGATTTTGCTAAAAGCCTAATGATATTTGTAACTATGAAGTGTATACCAAATGTGAAATATGATTGTTTTTAAAAATAAATTTTAAAAATAAATTTTAGAAAAAGATTTATTTTTTAAGCAAGACTTCTTCATTTAAAACAAAATGACCTGAATATTTACCAACAGTATTTTTTATTAAAACGAAATGTTTTAGTTTAATATATAATCTCATATTTTAAATACAATTTAAAATGCTTTTAATACTTTTTTCAACTTGAAATGACCCTTCACTTATGTTCAAATGCAATGCAGAGTGAAAAAAACCAAACCAAAACATTTTAGCCTTTCACAATGAAGGTAAAATAATCACAATTGATTATAATTGAAAAGTTTTCTTTAACTGAACTAATTTTTCTTTTTTTTTGTCCAGCTCTTCAATTGCTACTTTCTGATCTAGGAGGGATGCTTATTCTCAAAGGAGCAGCTATCCCTAATAAGATCAAGCTGTGCTTCTGAGGTTTTAAAATCTTCTAAAACTGCAGTTCACAGTTCCAAATAAACACAAACTCCATCTTTTCTCCCCTATGACCCCTAAACAGAGAAGTAACGCTTCTAAATTTCTCAGTGTAACATGATGCAATTATTTTTAAGAATCACATTTTTTAACTTTTAGAAGGCTCTTTTTTTGGTCACGTGCTTCCAAACCTGCAAAGTAAGAGTTTCCATTTGCAGTATGGTGAATTATCAGGTAAAGGCCATTTTCTCTTAGGGGTTCCATCCTCCAGAGCCATGCCAATGCCTGTGACTATGAAGAACAGATTTATCTTTTTTTGAACTCTGTTATCATTATTCACTGCCATAGGTTCACCTGGAACATCCAGTCTTGGATATATAGGGTAATGTCACAGCTTAATTTGAAATCCTGTAAACTTGACTCTGATAATGTTCAAATTCTTTATAAAACATGTATGTATGTATCAACAAATATAGGCTACATTTAAATTTCTACCATTTCATAAACTTCTCTCTTTCTGGATGAAGTGAATTCTCTCCATGGCGTTAGTGAACATCTTTTAACCTACCTTGCATTTGGCTGTGCTGAAGTCCCAAATCTTTCATGCAGAATTTAATTGTTTTGTGGCCACTG